GATAGTGCCAAATAGTTCCACTTCACTATTTGGATAGTGCCAAATAGTTCCACTTCACTATTTGGATAGTGCCAAATAGTTCCACCTCACTATTTAGATCCACTTCCACCTTAATGTATACATTAAATACTAATTAAATATTCTAAATAATACTAAATAATTAAATATTAATACTAATAATTAAATATTAATACTTATAAATAAAAATTATATACATTAAATATTCCACCCAATAGTTCCACTTCCCCTTAATGTATACATTATATATAATATGGACCCCTACAGTCCCCCTTATAATAAAGAAATTACAAGGGTCGAGCTTTAAATTAAACGATGGTTAAAAAAATATCTTCTAGCTTGGTATACGAGTCAAGTAATTATCATTCTTAATCCTTTGAAGATTACTACTTGTAAAGTAATGAGAGGGACAGAGAGCAATAATAAAGGGAGATGGGAAGAGTAGAGAGCACGAAACGAGGAGTAACTGGGAAAAATTGTTACAATCTGAGGTGAAAACAATATCGAGAAAGATTAATAATACCGAAAAATGCTACACAGTAATAACTTTGAATTGATATGAAATAGAGAAATATTAATATGATTGAAGACTTCTCCAGCGGGCACGGGCGCGCACACACATGAACACACGCACACACACACACACACACGCACACACACGCACACACACGCACACACACACACACACACAGTAGAGAAACAAATGCAATTTCCTAGTCAAATATGTATACACATTCATGTCAATTCCCAGTACAGGTGTGTGTCTGTATTGGTGAGGAGCACCTCCTCTCTTACACACCTGACCTCTCTCTCTCTCTCTCTCTCTCTCTCTCTCTCTGGTGAGAGAGAGACAGCAAGATGCAGATGGAGAGAGCAACAGAGAGAGCATACCGAAGTATGATAAAGGGACAGAGAAGCAGAGAGAGAGAGAGAGAGAGAGAGAGAGAGAGAGAGATAAAAGGACAGAGAAACAGAGTGAAAAAACAAAGCACAGAAATCAGACACAGAAACAGAGATACAGAGATAAAGATGGAAAAACAATTGACTTCTGGCGTGTATACCTTCCTCTCCCCCCTCCCCCTCCCCCCCTTCCCCTCACCCCCATATCCCCAACCCCACACCCCCAAGTCCCCACCCCTGACAAAAAAAAATGTCATTTTCTCTCTAACTTTCCAATCAAGGACGCCCCACTCTTTCCTGAGCTATGGAATATTGTTATGTTCACCGCCTTCCTGTGTGTGTACAGCCAGCATCTAAGGCAGCAGCAGAGAACTTGATCTCCTCCTCAATCTCCACTATTTCTCCTTGTCCTCCTCAACCTCTATTGCTTCTACTGTATAGTTGAGGTAGATATACTACGTCCATCTTTTAACTCTCAATTCCCACTATTCTTCCTCTTCTCCTTTGTTCTAGTTCTCTTGTTGCTCCTTATTCTCCTGCTACGTCTCTTCCTTGTGTCTCTTATTATGTGTCTATAAGAAGAGACATAAGATATCTTGTTTAGCTTCATTAAATAATCTTACCTGTGGCAGGTGGTTACCGTTACCTGTGGCAGGTGGCTACCGTTACCTGTGGCAGGTGGCTACCTTTACCTGTGGCAGGTGGCTACCGTTACATGTGGCAGGTGGCTACCGTTACCTGTGGCAGGTGGTTACCGTTACCTGTGGCAGGTGGCTACCTTTACCTGTGGCAGGTGGCTACCGTCACCTGTGGCAGGTGGTTACCGTTACCTGTGGCAGGTGGCTACCTTTACCTGTGGCAGGTGGTTACCGTTACCTGTGGCAGGTGGCTACCGTTACCTGTGGCAGGTGGTTACCGTTACCTGTGGCAGGTGGCTACCTTTACCTGTGGCAGGTGGTTACCGTTACCTGTGGCAGGTGGCTACCTTTACCTGTGTCAGGTGGCTACCGTTACCTGTGGCAGGTGGCTACCGTTACCTGTGGCAGATGGCTACCGTTACCTGTGGCAGGTGGCTACCGTTACCTGTGGCAGGTGGCTACCGTTACCTGTGGCAGGTGGCTACCGTTACCTGTGGCAGGTGGCTACCGTTACCTGTGGCAGATGGCTACCGTTACCTGTGGCAGGTGGCTATCGTTACCTGTGGCAGGTGGCATTCTGTATTTCTTTGCTAACTCTTACTTCTTTGAGGTATATCTAGTTTCATAAATGTTCACCTATGTCCTTTTTTCGTGTCATCCAATTACTTGGAACAGGTAACTCTCTAAACTGTATGTGGGGCCTAAGTATTTTGTAGGTGGAGAATATGTCTCCTGTGACCTCTCTTTTTAAGGTAAATTTACACTGCTTTCAACTGTCTTATTATTTAAGATTGGTTGGACTTCACAAGTGGAGGGAGAGGGGGTCCAATTTGAGTGCTTCATATTCTAGAAGTGGTCTGACGTAGGTTCTGAATACTGACTCGATGGTGAGTCTGTTCTAGTTTTCCAACATTTTTCATATGTTTGCAGTTTTGCATAAATGATATTATAACATTTGTTGATATATTTCCGGAGGTGTTTCCTGTTAGTCAGGTTCCCACTAAGTGTGTGTGTGTGTGTGTGTGTGTGTGTGTGTGTGTGTGTGTGTGTGTGTGTGTGTGTGTGTGTGTGTGTGTGTGTGTACTCGCCTATTTATGTTTGCAGGGATTTGCTTTGGCTCTTTGGTGTGTGTGTGTGTGTGTACTCGACTAGTTGTGCTTGCAGTAGGGATGAGGGTTGAGCTTCGGCTCTTTAGTCCCGCCTCTCAGTTGTCAATTAACTGGTGAATAGGTTCCCCAAACTAGTGGGCCCCATCAATAGCTTTCGGTTCGAGCGGAATCTATAAGGGATGGCCTTCATTTTAAGGACCTCCACAACTTATAGGTTAGAGTTTGGGTCATTAACCAGGACCAGTCTCGCTCTACTGAATTCCCCGGCAACCTGCTACCAACTGGAGCACGGTTGACATAGGCATCGACATCACCTCACATGCACCAGTCAGGCTCTCACACTGCTGGACATTAATTACGTTTATATAGTATAGTTCCTTTAGTACAGACTGCAGTGTTAACGCCACCTTTCCCTTACGAGACTATTACATCTATGAAAGATGTAACTAAATTAGATAGATGACATGATCACGACATGGAAGATTCTTGAAAATGAAATGATCTCAACATGAAAGATTCTTGAAAATACAAAAATACTATGATTGTGTGGAAATTAGAAACATATCTCAGCCATGGGGATGTAATGTGACCCCTCATAAGAAAAGTAGAAAGATGAAAGAAGCTTGAAAGGGAAAAGAGATAAGTCTTACTAATCAACTGAACCTGCTAAAGGGTTTTTTGTCATTGCAATGGGGACTACATTTTTTACCTGATCAACCAGGCTGTGACTCATACGTCAGGCTGCGAGCAGCCGCGTCCAACAGCCTGGTTGATCAGTCCAGCAACCAGGAGGCCTGGTCGACGACCGGGCCGCGGGGACACTAAGCCCCGGAAGCACCTCAAGGTAACCTCAAGGTAAGGTACAGTGATTACAAGATGGGGGGGGGTTGCAGAAGGTAAGCTCGTAGATCAACCTCGTGTACGGGATTACAAATAAATAACTTAAACTAAGCCACAGGAGGAACAGGAAGAACGCGTCGACTGCATATTCCAAGGCTTCCACAACACCTCCGTTGCAGTATCCCTTCATTAATAAGTTGGATTAGGGCATGACTATACCAAAGGAAACAGAGAGTTAGTATAAATGGGGTCAAGTCAGAGTGGGAAAATGTTGTTAATGAAGTGCCTCAAGGCTCTGTCCTGGGACCTCTGTTATTTATAATATATATAAATGATTTAGATTCAGGTTTGAGCAGCAATATTTGCAGATTTGCCGATGATACAAAAATCGGGAGGGAAATAAACACGGAAAAAGATTCACTATCACTTCAAGACGATCTAAATAGGGTTTTGAATTGGTCAAAAGATTGGCAGATGCAGTTTAATGCTGATAAATGTCAAGTTTTGAGGCAAGGTAGTGATGATAGAGTTACAAGATACGAGCTAGATGGTGTTGAGATTGCGAAGTCGGATTGCGAAAGGGATCTGGGAGTTATGATTAGTAAGAATTTAAAACTAAAGGATCAATGCATGAATGTTCGAAATAAGACAAATAGGACACTGGGATTTATTAATCGAAGCGTTAGTAACAAGACACCTGGTGTGGTTCTTCAGCTATATCTAGCTCTGGTTAGGCCCCATTTAGGTTATGCAGTTCAGTTTTGGTCGCCGTACTATAGAATGGATATAAATTCCCTAGAACGCGTCCAGCGTAGGATGACAAAGTTAATCCCTCCAAATTAGAAACCTATCATATGAAGAAAGATTAACATAGCTTAAATTACATTCACCGGAAAGGCGAAGAGTTAGTCGTAACATGATAGAAGTGTACAAGTTGATGAATGGACATAACAAAGGGGATATTACTAGGGTACTCAAAGTATCAACACAAGACAGAACACGAAACAGTGGGTATAAACTGGATAAGTTTAGATTTAGGAAAGGATATGTAGGGAAATAGAATTGATCGCATTGAAGCTGAGAGACTCATATAGAACCCAAGAGAGACAGAGAGCAAAAGGCCATAAGTGAAAATGATAGGAACCCGGCCGGGGGGTGGGGGGGGGGGATAAGGAGGAAGGGTGCCCAACCACTTGGACGGTCGGGGATTGAACGCCAACCTGCATGAAGCGAGACCGTCGCTCTACCGTCCAGTCCAAGTGGCTGAGGTGTGTTTTTAGCAAACGATCGACGACTACTCCATTTACCGGCAATAATATCCTAGATGACAAAAAATTAGTCAAGTGGCTGTCAAAGCCGGGAGTTCCATCTTGACTAATATTTGTCATCTAGGATATTGATATCAGGGTAACTGGACTAGTCAGTGGCTTATTAAAAGTTAGCGGATCAGAGGCTTGCTAGAAGTTACCGGATCAGAAGCTTATCAAGAGTCAAGATGAAACTTCTGGGTTCAGGGACGTATGGGACGGTGTCCCTCATGGACTGGGACGGCCAGCCAGCAGCGCTGAAAGTAGCAAAATCTTCAGAGTTTTCAGCAGTGTTTAAAAGCGAAGGCAACGTCCTCTCGTTACTGAATGGTGCAGGAGGCGCCCCTTTGTTGTTGCATAGGTCAGTGAATCCACCATCACTTGTGACCACCTATAAAGGCAACCAGACCCTACAAGACGTCTTGAGACGTCCCAAATATGACCTTCTCGAGTTAGGACTTCAGGTTGGCATAAAGTTACAAGAGGTTCACGAGGCGGGTATAGTACACAATGATATCAAATGTGATAACGTCATGATCCAAGGTCCGCCCCACAACCCACAGGTTAGTATAATTGATTATGGCTTGGCCTCCAGAAACAACGTGAAAATTTTCCTGGAAGGTGACCCGACTATCAATACTATATATGCCCCCGAGGTCCTTCAGAAGAAGGCGAGCACTTTTGCCTCAGACGTCTACTCTTATGGGAGGCTAATGCTGGTGATAAAGAAGCGGTTGCCCAAGCATCACCCGGAACTAGATAAGTTGCTTCGGGAAGCAACAAACAAGATCCCAAGGCGGCGCCCAACCCTTCATATCTTTCTTCGGCGTTTACGCGAAGTCATAAGCAAAATCTCACCGAATACGAAAAGTTCCTGTAAAAAGCAGGACACCAGAGCAATCTCCGACAGTTTGAACGCCAAGAAACTGCGAGAGCGCCGGACAAAGCGCATTCGGAGCCCATCTCCAAACATGTTCGCTCAGCGCGGCATGAAACTGCGCAAACGACCTAAAACGCGCCATCAGACCCCAGCCAAATAGGATAAAAATTTACAACGCGGTAAAAAGAAAAAGCCAAAAAATGCCCTGAGAAACCGAACCCAAGTCTTAGAGGCTACACGAACCTTAGTCAGCTGTAAGACTAAAGGACTCGGGACATTTGTTAAATAAATTATTCCTATATTTTTTTCAGTGTTTAAATTCAAATTTAGTCTGTTAAATAATTAGTAAAAAATATGAAAAACTTGTTTTATTTCTTTTAAAATATAGCACCATTTTCTATTGCTATAAAATTTGTAAATAAATATAAAAATAAAGTAAATGTATTAACATATAAAATGTGTATTATTTTCAATAGCCTGCATATATTAACTGGAATACAACTTTTGAGGCAGAAATGACATTTGTAAACGGAGAAGAAAAACTGAGGTTCAGAACTCTTCAACGAACTGATTACTAATTAACGTAGACAAAGTTCCTGTTTAAAGCCAGGAAGGGAAGAACAAAGGGGGGGGGGTTAAAGATGGAATATAGACACATGAACAAGTTTCAGAGCTGCGGGCTCACCATAGCCCGTGCTACTTGGAACTTTATGTTCCAGGTAGCGAATCTTTAACAACTGAGTAGAACAGGTTAGACATAATAGTTGTTGAAGCTGGCACGATTGACAATGTTATATGTAAATATGATGAGAAATTAGTCATTGTATTAATCAAAGAACTATCGATCATGGCGCCTAGATCGATCATGCCAGAACATCTTGGTGAACATCCACAAACTACTAAACTAGGTAATTAATGATTAAAATGACTTATGAAAATCCATTTTTTACAAAAATGATTAAAAATATTTTATTTTAAAAGTTAAAATCAATTATCAAAAAGGCACCAAATATTGGGTTTGTGACGACAATTTTCCGATGTTGTTATTATTCAATAATAATTTATAGAGCGTTGACAATTCTGTGTTTTAAGTGTTGAACAATTCTAGTGTTCAAGGTTTATGGTAACTAGATTATGACGCCGATAGCACTTTGTACGGAGTTCACACTGTTCAAAGTAGACGTTCCTTGGATTAGGACTTTGATACCGCTGTTTAAGGACGCTCACTATGTTCAAAGTAGTTCCCAGGATTAGGTTTTTTATAGCGCTGTTCACTATGCTCAAAGTAGTTTGTGGTAATGGTCAGAGGCGGTGACTAGTCCGGCTGTGATGGCTGGCAGCTGGCAACACTCTTGGGACATACCCCGGGCCCAAGATAACAGTACGACGTTATCGTTTAACCCAAATGGAATTTGGGTTATCTTGCCAGCTCATTGAGAGAGCGGGGAAGAGATTGGCGAGGAGAGAGAGAGAGAGAGAGAGAGAGAGAGAGAGAGAGAGAGAGAGAGAGAGAGAGAGAGAGAGAGAGAGAGAGAGAGAGGGCAGAGAGAGAGAGAGAGAAATCGTGGACATCTTCAAGAGAAAACTAGATAGTTGTCTTCAAGGAGTGCCGGACAAACCGGGCTGTGGTGGGTACGTGGGCCTGCGGACCGCTCCAAGCAACAGCCTGGTGGACCAAACTCTCACAAGTCAGCCCCGAATTCATCTCAAGATAACCTCAAGATACGTATTTTGGTCGAATTTATTGCCAGAAAAGTACAAAGAGAGAGAGAGAGAGAGAGAGAGAGAGAGAGAGAGAGAGAGAGAGAGAGAGAGAGAGAGAGAGAGAAGATGAAAGAGAGAGAAGGTAAGAGAGAAGGCGAGAGAAATGTGTAGTAAATAGTTAATAAGAAGATATGGAAAGTCAATGATATCACCGGATGAAAGAGGAGAAACAGATAAGGTCAGGAGTCAATACTTTAGACAATAGCTAGTCAAAGCCGTGGTCCAAGAGCTAACATCTCTCTCTCTCTCTCTTGCAGCCACAAATAATAACACACATATACACACACAGATCCAAGAGTTCAAGAACCAAGAGGCAATGCTCGATCCTGCAGGCACAAATAGTTGCGTACACACACACACACACACACACACACACACACACACACACACACACACACACACACACAAAATCATCTTAAGTGCATCCCCCCCCCCCCTCCACCTTGCAATTTTCATTACTGAAATAAACTCGGGCAAATTTCTCACGTACATTTGTATTCCAACAACAACCTGATGAAACATTCTTCTAAGATTAATTCTTTGTTTTCTACATCAACCTCTAAACTAAGAACCCCATAATAGCAATGACTCTATGCTCACTACATAGAATAAAGGGTTCAGAATCTCTTTAAAATGTATACCATCTCACATAAATATAATGACATACTTTGCAGCCAAATTATCACGTAACAAGGTTTAAGATCAACTATGTCTTAGGTTTAATGGGAGAGAAATTACTGACTACAATAGGCCTGAAAGCACCAGTATGAAATGCTATGATTTCTTTAGGTCCGAAACCTATGTTTATGGGGCAGCACAAAATATCCACCAGTCTGTGCGACACAGTGGTTGCCAGGATCAGGTTGGGTTACTGTTACCTGTGGCAGGTGGCTACCGTTACCTGTGGCAGGTGGCTACCGTTACCCGTGGCAGGTGGCTACCGTTACCTGTGACAGGTGGCTACCGTTACCTGTGGCAGGTGGCTACCGTTACCTGTGGCAGGTGGCTACCGTTACCTGTGGCAGGTGGCTACCGTTACCTGTGGCAGGTGGCTACCGTTACCTGTGGCAGGTGGCTACCGTTACCTGTGGCAGGTGGCTACCGTTACCTGTGGCAGCTGGCTACCGTTACCTGTGGCAGCTGGCTACCGTTACCTGTGGCAGGTGGCTACCGTTACCTGTGGCAGGTGGCTACCGTTACCTGTGGCAGGTGGCTACCGTTACCTGTGGCAGGTGGCTACCGTTACCTGTGGCAGGTGGCTACCGTTACCTGTGGCAGGTGGCTACCGTTACCCGTGGCAGGTGGCTACCGTTACCTGTGGCAGGTGGCTACCGTTACCTGTGGCAGGTGGCTACCGTTACCTGTGGCAGGTGGCTATCGTTACCTGTGGCAGGTGGCTACCGTTATCTGTGGCAGGTGGCTACCGTTACCTGTGGCAGGTGGCTACCGTTACCTGTGGCAGGGGGTTACCGTTACCTGCGGCAGGTGGCTACCGTTACCTGTGGCAGGTGGCTACCATTACCTGTGGCAGGTGGCTACCGTTACCTGTGGCAGGTGGCTACCGTTACCTGTGGCAGGTGGCTACCGTTACCTGTGGCCGGTGGCTACCGTTACCTGTGGCAGGTGGCTACCGTTACCTGTGGCAGGTGGCTACCGTTACCTGTGGCAGGTGGCTACCGTTACCTGTGGCAGGTGGCTACCGTTACCTGTGGCAGGTGGCTACCGTTACCTGTGGCAGGTGGCTACCGTTACCTGTGGCAGGTGGCTACCGTTACCTGTGGCAGGTGGCTACCGTTACCTGTGGCCGGTGGCTACCGTTACCTGTGGCAGGTGGCTACCGTTACCTGTGGCAGGTGGCTACCGTTACCTGTGGCAGGTGGCTACCGTTACCTGTGGCAGGTGGCTACCGTTACCTGTGGCAGGTGGCTACCGTTACCTGTGGCAGGTGGCTACCGTTACCTGTGGCAGGTGGCTACCGTTACCTGTGGCAGGTGGCTACCGTTACCTGTGGCCGGTGGCTACCGTTACCTGTGGCAGGTGCCTACCAATACCTGTGGCAGGTGGCTACCGTTACCTGTGGCAGGTGGCTACCGTTACCTGTGGCAGGTGGCTACCGTTACCTGCGGCAGGTGGCTACAGGTGACGAATCTCCCAATCCTGAGCACTCCAGGAGCAAACTCTGAATAGGAACCATCCCGTGAAATTTGGGATTTGTTTCAATATCTCTTGTCTAGCTCTTGACACACACTATGTAACTCCTCATAGGAAATACATAGCGTGTCTTAAGGAATACATACTATACACTATGTACATATTATGTTCATGCTATGCACTATATACATAATCTATGGTAAGTGAATAAACGCAGATGTTGCTCAATATTTTAATTAAAAGCTGAACTTAACCAAATGTATCGTCTAGTTCTGTTGTTAAGACTTTTATGGTTTCAAACATTCAGATCTGATATATATATAATATATATATATATATATATATATATATACTATATATATATATATATATATATAATAATATATATATATGTCGTACCTAGTAGCCAGAACGCACTTCTCAGCCTACTATGCAAGGCCCGATTTGCCTAATAAGCCAAGTTTTCCTGAATTAATTTATTTTCTCTAATTTTTTTCTTATGAAATGATAAAGCTACCCATTTCATTATGTATGAGGTCAATTTTTTTTATTGGAGTTCAAATTAACGTAGATATATGACCGAACCTAACCAACCCTACCTAACCTAACCTAACCTATCTTTATAGGTGAGGTTAGGTTAGGTAGCCGAAAAAGTTAGGTTAGGTTAGGTAGGTTAGGTAGTCGAAAAAACATTAATTCATGAAAACTTGGCTTAATAGGCAAATCGGGCCTTGCATAGTAGGCTGAGAAGTGCGTTCTGGCTACTAGGTACGACATTATATATATATATATATATATATATATATATATATATATATATATATATATATATATATATATATATATATATATATATATATATATATAATGTCACTGGTGTTTTCCCCAGAGACAAGCTGTGTCACCAAACACTCACAGTCTTATATATGACGAAGAACTAATCAATTCGCGTCGTTTAGAGAAAAAATATTTGTACGTTCGTTCTTGGGTCCGGGTGAAATGTTACGTAGGAAACAGTTCAGATGAGAAAGTTGAGAAGGAAGAGGAAGCCAGAGAGAAGAGGAAGATTCTCTCTCTCTCTTTCTTTCTCTCTTTCTTTATGTATCTCTGTTACTATATCTCTCCCTCTCTTCTCTAACTTAACTATTCTCAAAATATAATCAAACAAATGGTAACAATATATTGAACAATGAATATATGTGAAAGTCAAATGTAGTGAATATTAACATCAATCAAATATGAGAA